ATATATATATATATATATATATATATATATATATATATATATATATACATGCACGCCAGGGTGATTGGTAACTCTAAATTGTCCCTAGGTGTGAGTGAGAAAGTGAATGGTTGTGTTTGTTTGTCTCTATGCGTCTCTGTGATGGACTGGAGACCTGTCCAGGGTGTCCCCACCTCTCGCACAGCGACTGCTGGATATGGGCACCAGTGACCCCCATGACCCAGAAAGGCGGGTAAAAATAATAGATGGATGGATGACTGGCAAAACTAAATACTATTTACTTTATTTATATCAAACCATCACCTATTGCATAGAGGTGCATCTCAAAAAATTAGAATATCATGAAAAATTTCCATTTTTTCCAAATAATTTCAGAACATGAAACTCATATTTCATAGATTAGTGAAATATATGAAGATATATAGATTTATGATATATTTCAAGCCTTTATTTCTTGTAATTTTTATGATTATGTCTTACAAATAATAAAATAAAATAAACCTCTGTCTCAGAAAATGAGAATATCCCACAGCCAGCTTTTGGTACCTCTGTCACTGTGGGCAGGAGTCAAGTCCTGCTGGAAAATGAATTCAGCATCTCCATAAAGCTCGTCAGCAGAAGGAAGCTTGAAGAGCTCTAAAATGTCCTGGTAGATGCTGCATTGACTGATGACTTCAGAAAACGCAGTGGACCAGCACCAGCAGAGGACATGGATCCAAACCATCACTGACTGTGGAAACTTCACTCTGGACTTCAAGCAACGTGGATTCTGGGCCTCTCCACTCTTCCTCAAGACCCTGGGGCCTTGATTTCTAATGCCATGAAAATTTATTTTCATCTGAAAAGAGGACGTTAGACCACTGAGCAACAGTCCAGTTCTTTGTCTCCTCAGCCGGTAAGATGCTTCTGATGTCTCTGGTTTAGGACTGGCTCGACTTGAGGAATGAGACATTTGTAGCTCATGTCCAGGAGTTATAATGAGCGGATTAGGGTGTGACACAAGGCGTTTATAATATTGAACTTTTTCCACAGTATTTTAATTTTCTGAGTCAGTGAGATATGTTTTTTCATTATTTGTCAGCCACAATCATCAAAACTACAAGAAGTAAAAGGCTTGATATATTTCACTCTCCTTGGATGGCTCAGAGATCCAATTTGTCAGCAATTACAAGCATCTAGGGATTTGGTTCGACTCCTCACTCTCATATGAAATCCATACCAACACTCTGCTCTCCAAAGTCAAATCCAGAATAGGACTCCTCTTTGAAAACAAATCCTCACTGACTCAACCTGCTAAACATCTTTTGGTAAGGATGGCAATCCTTCCGATCATCTATGGTGACATAATTTACAGAACCGCTTTCAAAACCCTCCTCCACAAATTGGACACCCTTTACCGTGCAGCCATTCGATTGGTCACCAAAGCCCTCTTTGGTGACCAATCAAAGAAAAGCAGGAAAAAGCAGTTACACAGTTTCTGCTGATCTATAAACCCAAACTGGTGCAACCCCATCCTACCTCCGTTCGTTGGTCAATATCCATAGCAACATTCAAACTCTCTGCTCCAAGCAGCTACATTAACCTAAGTATCCTTAAAACGCACACTTCCTTTGTGGTTCTTCTTTCGGCTGCCCCCTTCTTCAAGGGTCGCCACAGCAAACTAACTCGCACCAAGACTTGGCAATTGTTTATACGCTGGATGTCCTTCCTGATGCAACCACAGACCACCGCGCTACCATGGCCCTCTGTGTGGAGCAGAGAGCTGCCATCCAGGGCACTGGAGGAGCAGATGGTGGGGGTTAAGGGTCTTGCTCAAGGGCCAAAAGTGGGGCAAATGAAGGTGGAGGCAGGTGTGCGTGCTTCGCCTTTCCTACCCACATTTTGACGTTTTCGGTTTGGGGGACAGAACTGACAACTTTCCAAAGACAGACTTGCCTTCTCGAACCTCTGCACCACCACCTCTCCTTTTGGCCGTTCATCATTTCAACTTTCAGCTGAGATTAAAACCATTTACAACAAACTCTAAAACTTACTTCTTTTATCCTATTTGGATCTTCTTCTATTCATTCCCATGTTCTATACAATTTGATGTTTGACTATCAGTTGTATAGATATTGTCCTTCGGCTCTTTTACCACTCCTGTATTTGCTGTCTCTTGTACAGGTCGTCATGAAAATTTTGAATTTGTTCTCAACTGACTAACCTGGTTAAGAAAACAGCGGCAGCGCCAGAGGGATGCTAGCGGGTGCTATAGCTCCCCCCTGGAAAAGTCATAGCACCCCCAAAAAAATATCAGACTATTTTCTTTTTAATCTAAGTTAACATTCTTTAATATGTGGTTGTTGTGATATTTTCCTAGCAAAACACAACTAATTAATAAAAAACAATCAATGATTATATTGAGTTAAAAAAAAAAAATCTGATCTCGCAACAGGAAGCAAATTTGAATTTTCACTTCCGGGCCGGAAGTTCTGGTAAGCATTTGAAAAGTGCACGAAATACAAAAATGGACCCTTTTCTGTTAGCCAAATTTCCTCGGATGGACTCAGAGAAGGAGGATTTTTTTGGAAGCAGACTGCGACCAACAAAGAAACAATAAATTAGAACAAGGGGATCAAGCGTACTGCCATCCTTCCACATCTGCGGAGAATGCTAACACTGCTAGCGCTGGACAGTTGGAGGATCTAAGCAAAGGTCCTCAGGATGGACCAAGACGACCACTTCTGCAAAAATACCTGTCACGCCTATATGGAGTGCACTTTTTTTTTGGAAGATGGTTTCCTCTGCTATTGGATGCAGTGCAGCTGGAAGGATTTTTACTGAAACCTTTTCACTTTTGGACTTTTGTTATGATGCGTAACCATGGCAACAATGTGTTTTTTTTTACAACTGGAAGCAGCTGATTAACATCTCAAAGCTCAAATAATACCTCAACTACAGCCCCAAATCCTTAATGAGTTGTAAAGGAGGTGCCGTGGAAGCATCTTCGTCTAACAGGCGGCAGTGCTCGAGTACCTGACCGCCAATCCTGGAGTTGGTGGGAAACGCGGCTCATGACAAGAAGACCAGGATCATCCCCTGACACCTGCAGCTAGCTAGCTGTTTGCGACGATGAGGAGCTTAACAAGCTGCTGGGAGGAGTTCTGACCAACATTCAGGTGGTCATACTGCCCAGGAGGACTGAGAGGCCCACCAAGTCCAAGTAAACAGATCAACATTTGTGGCCACTTTCTTCAGATCAGCTATAAGACGGACCACCACAAGAAATCCTTCCTGCCCACAGCCATCAGCATGTAGAACAACTTTTAAATGAAACCCGGAGAATGAGCTACAACAGCATTTAATTTCCTTCTGCGATTAATAAAGTATTTTTGAATTGAATTGAACTGAATGCCTGTCATGTTTGTACATGCTTTAATTAAATTGCAGAATACCACATATTCACTATCCACTTTATTGGTGATTATACTTGTCCGAGTGCACCTCTGTGCTTGCGTCTGTGTGTGTTGAGAACCGAAAGAACAAATGATCCTTCACAGCACCTTCAGTAAAATGCTTAGCCCCACCTTAGCACCTGCAGAAAAATATCTCTGGAGTCGCCACTGTTAAAAAAAAAATGGGTACAAATAAAAGACAATTGACAAAAAAACTATTTTCTCTGCATAGTCGGTGTTCGACTTTCTGCCGAATGAGATGTAAAATGTATTCCAGACTGAAGTGAGAGATTGAACCTGGTTAACCTAGCAGCTGTCGGTGCCTCCCTCGCTGTTCGCAGAGTGTTTATACCTGCACTTTGTCATGCAGCTCCTGAATGCTCCCCTCCTTGCGTGACACAGAGAACTCGGGGCTCTGCAGGATGGCCTCGCCACGGGTCATGTAGCTGTGGACCTCTGTGAAGTCGACGTCAAACCTTCCAGCGCATACAAACATAAACACATTGTCTTTTTGCAAAAGCTGCACCACGGGTACAGGCACAATTTTTATTTTAACTTTTGTTGTAAAGGTCAAACTATTGCGGGACTTGTTCCGTGATAGAGTGGGTAAACTAAATTAAAAAAAATCAACTTCTGTTGGTGCAAAACTGGAAAAAATTAAACATCTTAATGGTATTTATATAGGTATCTTACCCACCCCTATACTGGTGTTGGACACCCATACGAAATAACACAATTAGTTTGTTTATTTTTTCCGAATATGGCCAAACAAGGGTTAAATAGCTAAGGTCTACGACGTCACCACTAGCTCGCTGTTTTTTTTTTTGTTTTGTTTTTTGAAAAGTGGAAAAAAAACGTGACGCATCCAAACTCCAAGTGTGATCAGAAGAAAAACGCATCTTTACAAAATGGATGAAAATAATATGGAAGATTAATATTAAATGCAAAAGATTAATACAACCCCAGTTATGAACACTTTGGATGTGTAAAATGTAAATAAAACAGAAAGCAATGATTTGCAAAGCTACTGAACTCATTTTGTTGAAGCTAAACAATTGTACCTTTTCTGGGAAACACAAGATAAATTTGAGTCCTTTAGCTGGATGGGAGAAAAGGTTGATCTAAAACCTGTATATACTGCACTACACTGACGGTCCCTTTACAAATGTGCAAGCTGCCCATGCAATAGGCATTAATGTATCCCCATACCATCAGAGAGGCGTTCTTTGAAACGTGCTGATAACTGGCTGGATGGTCATTCTCTTTAGTATGGACAGCTCCGTCGGCAGGGTTTTTTGTTGACAGGGTGGAGGTGGGGGTGGGTGGGTCACGTCTGTGTGCCCGCTTGCTAGCTGAGTGCTATGCTAAGCTATGCTAGCGCAAGATAGTGTTATCAATAGGGGGGAAGTTGTGTGTGTGCATATGGGACGGAATCACGTGCGAGTTGCCTGCCTGCTAGCTTACTTCTACTTTGCTGCCGGTAATTGTCGACCGGGGTGGGGTAGCGGAGCGGTACGTCAGTAGCTAGCATTTTTGCTAGCGCATCTGTATTGCGCCCCGCGCTACATCAATACCAACAGTTGTGGACGGAGGGTGTGGGGGGGTGTTAAGTAGACGGGACACTCTGTTCCGTTGACGGGGCAGGACGCCCCACTTGTACAATGGTAGTGAAACCACTGGATAAGATAGTGTCAGTGATTTCCAAAAACAATTGCAAATGGTATTTAATCTGAGCACAGAACATGTCCCTGCTTTGCTTCAGTCTGTTCTAAATGAGTTTTGGTCCAAAGAAAGATGTCAGAATTTCTGGATGTTCACATGCAAGAGATTAAACCTCTCTTTGTGGATGACACTGTGTTTACAGACAAGGATTTGTAGAATTATTCCCGAGTCCGTGCGCTGATGCGGGTAACTGAATAGTTTTAGGGCAGTGCCATCCAAGAACCTAAAGATCACAGAGATCTAATATTGACTGTCACCTCTTTTATGCAGAGATTTATTCAGACCCTTGAAATGTTTTGATGATATGAGCTCTAGAAGATGGGAGAGTCAAACACTTCCCAACATCCCCTTGAGAAAGAAATATTCTTACTGACCAATGACATCTGTTGGGGGTCTCTCAATGACCTTTTTGAAATATATCGCTGCCTTCAAATGGAAAATTAACTTTTTTCCCCTAAAAAAGGCACGATGTTCACTTTAAATGTTTAAAATACAAGTTAATATTTGCAATCCACAGCATTCCATTTTAATTTACATTTTACACAGAGTCCCACCTTTTTCTGAAGTGGGTTTGTACGCCAAAACCACTTAGTGGTGTCTGCTTCTCTAGTCACTACAATGAAGGTTTTCAGGATCTAACTTCAACCTAGATTCTATCGTCAATTTATTAATGATGCGTCCACCTACCTGTTGAGATTAGAAAGCAGGAAAGGGTGCATGAAACTGAACATTTCACGCAAGTTAAAAAAAAAATATCAGCAAACTGCTAAGTAAACAATAAAGTAGACGTTCCTAGTGTAGCCACACACACCTTTTCCTGAGTTCAGAATCCACAACCACTTGTCTCTTCTTTTGGGGTGGCGGGGACTCTCGAGTTTGGCGTAAAGCTGCCACCTTTTCCCTCGTCACCTTGGTAACGGTGGTCGTGACAGACTGGAGCACCTCGGTCTGCTTAGTTGTGGTGATAGCTGATGAAAGCTGAACGTCAACCAAGAAATTGTTATTTAAGTCAATTAACAAAATTAATGACATAAATAATATAAAATATTACGACCAAACTGTAAGTTAACACTGAATTCATTCAAACATGAATTTCCACCATTTGACACTAAAAACTTGAACATGCACATTTCGGGTTAGCTCTGATCAAAATAACCCTCAAATTATAATGTTCTCTTAAAGAACTGAATATTTTATGAAAATATAGCATAAAAGTTGAGTTCTGACTAAAGGTTTGAACAATGGTTGAAATTTGCTGAAAAAGCTGAAATTGAGCCGAATGCTAAATGTAGAAATATGCTACCAAAAAGTAGCAGGCCAGCTAAAAACTAAAAGTCACAAAAATCCAGCTTAAAGTTGCTAAATGTTATTTAAATCTAGCAAAACACTATCAAAACCTAAAGTGATACTGCTAGCCAAAACCTTTAAGTAGCAAATGCTACAACCTAAGTTCACCAAAAGCCTTGGCTAAAAGTAGCAAAAGGATAGCTACATTAGGTAAAAGGTAAACTTTTACCAACAATAGCATTAATGGAATTAGCACTAGCAGTACTAACCCTACTAGAAGTAAAATTAGCATTAGTAGAACTAACATTAGCAGAATCAATGTGGTAATGCTCAGATTAAGTGATGATTTTCAGCTGCAACCACAGAAAATTTTACAACACTGAATGAGTCATAGTTGTTTTGTGCTTGCTAAAGTCAGTAAGCTGTGACAGCCATCTTGAATCAGGTGGATTTTGAAGTTTAATCAGTTGTAGATGTACATCCAATGATGATAAGTTTTTTTTTCTTCTTTCAGCTGCTCCATTCATCAGGGGTCACCACAGCAAACTAACCCGCAGCAAGACTTGGCAATTATTTGTACACCGGACACCCTTCCTGACGCAATCACAGACCACGAGCTACCACAGCCCTCTGTGTGGAGCAGAGAGCTGCTAGCTAGGACACCCCGGGGAGCAGATGGGTGGGGATTAAGGGCCTTGCTCAAGGCCCCAGAGTGGGGCAAATGAGGGTGGAGACAGGTGCGGGTGCTTCACCAATCCCACCCACGTTTTGATATTGTCGGTACTGGGAGTTGAACCAGCGAGCTTTCGATCACAGGCCCACCTTCTCTAACCTCTGCGCCACCACTCCCGTCAGATGAGGGGTGATGATAAGTTATGCTGCCAAAAAATCCTGGGCAATAATTTATTTGTTCCTAGTACAGAACCTTGTGGCATGCCACAATTTATTTTTCTTAACTGTAATCCATTTATGTTCATTTTCACCTACTGATGCCAAAACTTTTTACATTTTTGGGAAAAAAAAATACTCCTGTCAAAAGCTTGACATAAATTTAGCTATATTTAGCTACAGCTGCTGCTATATTTAGATTTAAGTTTTATAGCCACTAAACGCGAGTTGATATTCGATGATCATTAGGAAATTCACTATTCTTCACAACGTTTTCAGGAATTATTATAAATATTTGTCCAAGTTTATTAGAAAACAGAGGCAACACATATACAGGTACACAACTTGACACATTTGTTTGTATTTTTATAAAAAGGAACAAAGTCACTTCTAAATGTTTTTGAGGATTTGGCATTTATCAGAAATCTTGTGTTCCACAGTCAAATCCACATTTTAAGCTCAAGGTATGTGTGGTTTCAGTTAAGCTCAATCAGAATCAAATCACTTTTCTTTAAGTGTCTTTTGTGTGCTGCCTGCTCAATCGAAGATGACAACTTATTTTAACGGAGTAGTCACTGTTCCCTTCTGTGAATGCTAATCTCAGCAAGGACGTGTCTAATAGGGGTTGAACCACGAGTGCAACTACTTGGATATTCTTGGTGCTATGGAAACGTGGGTGCTCACAGCCAGGTGTCTACCTGCAGAGGTCAATACGCTAATTATCTGACTGATTATAATGGACAAGTAATTAAAAGAGAGAGAAGGAGGAAGTTACAAAAAATAGAGTGGTACAGACCAACAGGTAGTCCAATAATGCATTGATGGATTTGGTCTTCCTTTAACAAACAAGTGTGTGTGTGTACATACGTAGGATCTGGTGTTGCGAAAAGGTTGATTTTTCTTACATTAATAGGCCTAATGTGGTCACGAGTGTTTAAATAAGTCGCAGTACTTTCAGCTCCAAGTCCATTAAGTCCCGAGGAAGTACTGAATGTCAAAACCAGGGTTTATTATTCACAAAACAGAGCTGGAAATGTTATTTTAGTGGTAGATTAATTAACATTTATTAGCCTAATGGGGCGGCTGACCTGTGCGAATTCAAGTGTTGACACTTAATTAAAACAAAAATATACCATTTCAATTAAAAGCACGCTGAACGCTTTATAGGCAGCGCGAGGTAGCATACAAAAATACTGAAAGGTCGTGTAAAATGTAACTAAGAATGTAAAAATCTGCAAATCGCATAAACTTACCGGTATTTTAACAAGAAAGCATAGAAAACGCCAAGTGTGTATTTATTAGTTTGTTTATTTTACTTTGATTTAAGATTATAGCTGCTCAACAGTCCTGGTTCCTCTGCTAGATTTTTTTTACTCTGAATGGAAGAATATGTTGTTCTATGGATATATTGTTCTGCATCCATATGTTTAAGCTACAGATGCCAGACGCACTAATGCACCACCATAGCATTAGAGAGGCAGGCGTTTGAGCTGTATGCTAACAAGCTGGATGGTCGTTTTTCTCTTTAGTATGAAGGATGCGCCTTGTGGTTTCCAAAACAGATTTCAAATTTTGATTCATCTGACCACAGAACAGCGTCGCCACAGTCCAAATGTGTTTTAGCCCAGAGAAGACGGCAGTGTTTCCGGATGGCGTTCACATAAGGCTTTTTCTTTGCATGATGGACCTTTAACCAGCATTCATGGATAATAACAATTAACTGTATTTACAGATATTGATGTGTGAAAGATTAATAGCAGTGGCCTCTGATGGCCCAAAAATCACAGGTCTTGCAGTTTTTAAGTTTTTAGCTACTATTTTGTCGCTTTTAGCCTTTAGCTACTGTTCTGCTGGTTTTGGCATTTAGATTTTTGTTTGGCTAATATTAGCTATTGTTCTGATTGTACAAACTTTAAATCTTAACTTAAAAAATGCAAGTTATTCTAGATCAAAACCCACTTAATATGTTGCTACGACTCCATACGACGGTCTTACTGATGGTGTTAATGTGAGATTGTCACCTGGTGATTGAACAACTGCTTAAATTTAATAAAGTGTTTCCAAATTATGATGATTTCTGATTTGCATATCAGATGGCAAACCAAAGCTGTTCCATTAGCAATCAGTTACTTGACAATTGATCTATAAAAAGTAGCCTTCAGAGGTTTACTACTGTCTTATGTTTAACTTGTATAGGCTATATTACTGCAAAAGTAATTTTCCTCAAGGTAAAACCTTTGTAATCTAAATGTGAATCTTAAATGTTTGGCAGCAACACAATTACTTGGACCATTGACAGTAATATTTCTGTAACAGCAATAACAATATTGTTAAGGTGTTAATTTTGAGGGCGCTAACTTGGGAACACGTTTAATCGCGGCTTTTCTTCAACTCATTCAAGCGGTTTTAATTTGTTTTAATTAGTGGTCTCCGGGTTGCAACTTTCAGCTGATTTCCTTTGGCCTACCTAATCGGAAGCAAATTAAACACACAAGAGCACTGAGTGAATGAAATGAAGTGTGGTCACCCTGGTGGTAGAACAAAAGCCAGAACAATTGTTCTAAACGCTACGACTTAGTTTAAATTAGCTGACCAAATGGATGCAGGAAGTAAACTTATTAACTAGGTGTGCATCAAAGTAAATGTAAGGCTCACAAAAACATACTACCTTCTAACATCCAAGTAAATTTAGTTAAAAGGGAGAGTGGTTATTATCTCCAGGGGATAGAGATGTTTGTGAAGCCTTGGTTTCGTACCAGTTTGAAGGAGCGGTCTACTATAATTCAGGGAATGGTCTGAAGGATGATGTTAAAACTGCCAGATCTATGTACATATTCAAGAAAATGTTAAGAGTTAGTTTTCTGAAGGAATATGGAAAAGTATAAAGTGTGTCTATACAAATTGTTGTTTGAGTTGATGTTTTTATTTAGCTTTGTTTTTTTGTACATTACTTTTGTTTGAATATATTTTGGGGAAAAAAGGGGCAGATATAAGGTTTATTCTTCTGCTGCTGCGTTTCATTATATATATATATATATATATAGTTTTCTATTGTATATAGTTATTTTGTTTTTAATGAAATGAATAAATTTCTAAATAAAAAAAAATACCTGGGAGCGGTTCAAATCCAGACTCTGGACCAGACGGTCCCAACGTTGGGCAAAGCTGTCCAGTCTGGCCTCCAGTTTGCTGGCCACATCCTTGTTCTTGACACTGAACAACAGGTCCTGGCTCATGGAGCACAGTTTATCCATGGCGGGATGTTTTGCCTCAAGATCTTCTTTCATCGTCTGGGGGAAGAGGCAAAAGATTTTCTCCAAATGCACACATGCATTATGTATTATGTGCATTACAGTGACAGCGTTTCATGTGGATTCTCCTTTATTTTCGCCAACAGTGATGAAAGCTCTGGGGCAACAAAAACTCACAGCAAGACGACGCAAGCAGGCAGCCATCTCTGTCTGGTCCTTTAGGTTGGACGTTTTAATCGAACGAACCGACTCCTCCTTTTCAGTCAACCAGGAGTCAAACAAACACTGTAAAGAAAGGTGAGATAGACAGAGAACTAAGGATGCCATGAAGGAAAAACAGGGGCTAGAAGTAATGCAAAGGCTAGCTGAAGTGAAAACAAAAGCCTTGACACAAAAACAAAATGGTGAGTTATAAGAGATTATCTTGGAAAATTAGAAAACTAGAGAAAAATAAAAGGTAGATGGGTACAGGAAAGAGATAGAATATAAATGAAAATTGTGGTGAAGCAGGGAAAGTAATCATTAAAAACACACGAGTGAAGGTTAAGACAAGGCTGAAAAGGAATGATGGGAACAAGAAGGTCTTGTAAATGTAAGTAGAGAAGGAAAAAAGACGAGAAGAGAGTCTGAGATACGTAGATGATATAGAAGAAAAGATGGATAATTTAAATTGGACTATGGAGGAGTACGACAAAGAGAACAAGTGTACTGCATACAACACATTATACCACCATCGACAAACTATTATACAGCAATCTTTAGAAATGACATGGACAACCTTCTATGATCTTTGTCAGTAATTTCTTACCTTGACCGTAGAGCTGGGGTGATGAAATGACTGCATGACATGCTGTCTAATGGTGGCACAAGTGTGTGTCCCATCACCAAAACATTAAACCAGGTCTGACTACCATTCTGTACGCCTTTCTTTCCTTCTATCACAAATCACCTCTTATCCCCCTTTGTGCTCCGTCTTCTTGAACTCTTTTGTGTTCTGCCCCGTTGCTTTGGACAGTTGAACACAGATATTTAAACGTATCCACCTTCAACCCAATCCTTGTAGCTTCACTGTTCCAAGTACCGCCCTGTTTACTGTCCTGCTTCTATTGACTTCCATCCCTCTTCTCTCCAGGGCACATCTCCAGACTCTCTTCCACCTGTTTGCTAATTTCACTAGAAATCACAGTGTCATCTGCAAACATCATAATCCATGCGAACTCATGTCTGACCTCATTTGTCAACTTGTTCACTATCTCTGCAAACAACAAGGGGGTCAGAGCTGATCCTGATTTAATCCAACCCTTACCTTGTACCCACCAGTCACTCCTACAGCACAATTCACCACTGCCTTGCTGTCCTCACTTGTACTGCACTACCCTCGCATACTTCTTGGAAATACTCGATTCCCTCAACCAATACTGCAGTTTTTCTCTTGATGCACTGGAACCTATTTGAAATGCGTGACACCTTCTGACCATGTCTATACTACTCCATCAACACTCTCAAAGACTGAATCGGTAGAGCTCTTTCTTGGCAACAAACCATTACCGATTCTCACTGAATGTCACCTCACTTCAACAACTTTTCCCCATATCTTCATGGTATGGTTCATTAACATGATGCCTCTGCAAGTACAGCTCGTCATTTCCCCCTTATTGAAAATCAGTACACTTTTCCATTCCTCAGGTATCTCCTCTCTCTCTATTATTGAGTTAAACAATCTAGTTATAAAGTTCACTGCCCTCTCACCTAGACATCTCAATACCTCCATTCATAAATGATAATGACCAACTGCCTTTCAGCTATTCATCCTTTCATAGCTACTCTCAATTAATTTTTGCTAATTCTGTGCACTTCCTGATTTGCTACCTCTCCTCCATTTGCCTTCCTACAAGACATATTACAAGCCCTAATGTGTACAATTAGCCAATAATGCTATGGATGTGGATTTATGCTTATGATCTACAGAATGCTTGAGCTGCATGATATTTGGAAAAAAAAAAACTGCAATGTCATCAGATTGCAAAACCCATTAAAAAAGTCCCATAATTACAACAGCAGAGTGTACAATATCAGTATTGCAAAGTATTGCAATAAATCACAGACCCAAACTGGATACCAATGGTACATTTGCCAATCAGATAGATCCCCACTACCCTGAATGCCCACAAAAGATTTAGAAGCTGAAATGCTAAAGCTAAATGCTAAACCAACACTAAAGAATGTGACAATGTGCCAATACGCTCCTACAGAACAATAAAATGTCAGAAAGGTGAGGTTACGTAAATTTTAGAGGAACTATTTCCCATCACAGTCAGTTTGAATCTACGTAGGTAATTTGAATGTGATGTGAGATCCAATGAAACTATAAGGATGCGCTCTACGAAGATGTTAGCTAGACAAGGATAGCAGTTAGCATTTGATTTGGTACAATAGGAGGATGAGAAGTTGTGGATGTCTCAGTAACTTCCTGCTTATGAGAAGCTGTAATTTGGGTGGAACCCGTTTTAGACCTCCACTTACCAGAAAAAAAAGAGGAAAACGTGTAGCGATACTGTATACTCAAGCACTTTTAAAGTTTTTATTTTTAATCGCTTCTATTGTCAAACTTGTGAGAATATTTTAGGAATAATTTAGCTTTATAGGGACTTTTTTAGGAAACTGATGAAACTGAAATTGAACATTTTTTTTAATAAGAATGTAGCATATACATGTTAGAAAAGTTTCTACACATTTCCTGGAAGCCTGAATAAAGTTGATTTGATCTGAATGGTTCTACTCCTTTTGCACTAGAACAACAGTAGTGTCACACCTGTTCATTGGTGAAGTGCTGCCATTTCAAAAGAACCTCCTGAAGAAGAAGCCAGCGCTCTTCTGTCCATCTGCAAATAGCGGCCCAGCGGTCACCAAGGACCTGCAGACAGATAAACACAACAAAGACTCACCAAAAATCTTCTCTTAAAGTCTACAAAATAAAATCCCTTAGAGTTATTCTAGGTCAGGCACAATAAAAGTTTAATCAAGCTGTTTCAAAAGCAAACTGGGTCACATTTTTACTTTCCGGACGTGATTTTTATTTTATTTTTTTAATTGAGTTGTCGAAAACGCACTTTGATTCTTACTTCTTCAAAAACTGACCCTTATTGTAGAAGGGTACAAGATTCACAGCAGATTTTTTTATAAAGTACAGAACACCGAATGTGACATATTGATATTTTGTGCATTTTTTGTCAGTCAAAAAGTCTCAAAGGCTTTTATGTATTGAAGGTTTTTTATTGAGAAAATAATTGCACAGTGTTCAGGGGTTTGAACAGTAGAGCTGGAACAGGATTTGTTTCTCCAAATTGCAGACAATAACAACTAATATATATATATATATATATATATATATATATATATATATATATATA